AGCTTCAGGGAAGGGAAATCTCGTGTCCCAAATCTTCTTGAGTTCTACGACAAGGTAAGAGAAGTAACACCGAAAAAAGACGGATAGGTAGATTGCATCTTTTTGGACTGTAAGAAGGCTTTCGACACAGTACCACACAATAGACTGGTTCAAAAACTAGTGGAGCAGGCAGGAATAGTGGGGAAAGCACTGTAATGGATCAGGTAATACCTGCCAGAGAGGAAACAACTAGTGTTGGTACGTTTTGAGGTGCCAGAGTGAGCACACGTGTCGAACACATATAGGTGAGCACACACACACATCAAGATAGAGAAAAGGCAAAAGTTTTCAACAAGATTAGACCAGAGCTTAGGGGCATGTCCTACAAGGAGGACAGGAGGGATAGAGTGAATATAATAACGACGTATTAAATACTGAGAGGAAATGTCAAGGTGGACATGGCCAGAATGTATAAAAATGAGATACAGGAACAAAGGGACATAACTCAGACGAGTTATAGGGATGTAGAGCTGTCACGAAGTGGAACACTCTGGAGGGTGTATTGAAAGCAGGATCAGCACGAAGCTTTAAGAAGAGATATAGTAAAGCTCTTGGAGCTTGGAGAGTGTAGTTCTAGTAGAGGCCAGCGAAGAGGCAGAGACAGGAGCTTTGAATCGGCCCTTGCAATCACATATAGGTGAGTACACACTCACACTTGTCAACACAATGGCGTGATAGTCATTTACTGAGTGTAGGCAGACGTTGCTTCTCGTCTGTCGAGAGAACTAACAAAAACATGTTGGTCATTACAGGTACTTGTTCAAGACTCAGTCACCCAAGACAACCTTCTCTACGCCTGGAGTCAGCATCGATGTGAGTCTTACTTCCCTCCTTATTCTTCTACAAGACCTCAAACCTTGTGAAGTAAATGAAATGTCGGTACAACGTAGTATCTAGATGTACACTGCTGCTTCATATTTAAGTCAACTCATAGTCAATAAATCACTTCATCAATTCATCGTAGAGAGACAGATAATGGACGGAGAGAAGGATAGAAGAAATATTAGTTGTGTTTGTGTTTTCCTTCATTTCTTACCACCAGAGTACAATAACTCTCACAAACTCTAAATCTCATTTTCATGTTATACTTTCTGGCTTAAATAAAAAAGCTTATCTCAAAGCTTTTCCATCTATAAATTATAAATAGTATACAAGTATAAAATACAATTTTTGTTAGCTGTAAGTCAGAACTTTAATACTCTGGAGAGTGGCATAGTGGAGGCAGGATCCATACGTAACTTTAAGAAGAGGTACGACAAGGCTCAGGGAGCAGGAAGAGTTACCTAGTAGTGACCGGTGAAGAGGAGGGACCAGGAGCTATGAATCGACCCCTGTAACCACAATGATAACGACATATAAAATACTGCGCGGAATAGACAAGGTGGACAAAGACAGGAAGTTCCAGAGATGGAACACAGAAACAAGGGGTCACAACTGGAAATTGAAGACCAGATGAGTCAAAGGGATGTTAGGAAGTATTTCTTCAGTCACAGAGTTGTCAGGCAGTGGAATAGCCTAGAAAGTGACGTAGTGGAGGCGGGAACCATACATAGTTTTAAGACGAGGTTTGATAAAGCTCATGGAGCGGGGAGAGAGAGAGGGCCTAGTAGCAATCAGTGACGAGGCAACCACATATAGATCAGTACGCACACACACATGCGCACTCACGCACGCACGCATACACACGCACGCGCACACACACACACACACACACACAGTACACTACCAGGTCCCCCACCCTCACAGGCCCCCCAAACCACAGTGTTGGAGAGGAAACTGAAGGTATGGTACACAAACGCTGATGGAATAACAAATAAGTGGGAGAAGTGGCACGAAAGAGTTAAAGAGGCTTCAGCAGACATCATAGCTCTCACAGAATCAGAATCTGGTATCCCAACGGGATACCAAATCCTGAGGAAAGACAGAGGGAACAGGGGGCGGAGGAGTGGTACGGCTGATCAAAAACCGATGGAATTTTGATGAGCTGGAGAGAGGAGACAGTGGAGAAGCAAGTGGGAACGCTTCAGTCCGGAGGTCCCGAAGTGGTAATTGCAGAACAGCAGGAGGCCAAGGCAAGAGTATGACGAGAGCAATAGAGCGATGATTGGCACACTGGCTGCAGTAGCCAGAAGAGCTCATGCGTGCAGGGCAAAGCTCCTGATCATGGGTGACTTTAACCACAAGGAAATCGATTGGGAGAACTTGAAGCCACATGGGGGCCAAGATACATGGAGGGCTAAGATGATGGAGGTGGTACTGGAAAACTTCATGTACCAACACGTAAGGGACACTACAAGAGAGAGAGGAGAGGATGAACCAGCAAGACTGGACTTAGTATTCACCTTGAGTAGTGCAGATATTGAGGACATCACATACGAAAGACCCCTTGAGGCCTGCGATCATGTGGTTTTAAGCTTCGAATACACAGTAGAGCTACAAGTGGAGGGGGAAGCAGGAAGACCCAGGCGAATGAAGCCAAACTACAAGAAAGGGGACTACAAGGGAATGAGGAACTTCCTGAATGGGGTTCAGTGGGACAGAGTACTGGCAGGGAAGCCAGTTAATGAGATGATGGAATATGTAACAACAATATGCAAGGAAGCTGAGGAGAGGTTTGTACCCAAGGGTAACAGGAATAATGAAAAAGCCAGGATGAGCCCATGGTTCACCCAAAGGTGCAGGGAGGCAAAAACCAAGTGTGCTTGGGAGTGGAAGAAGTATTAAAGGCAAAGGACCCAGGAGAAAAAGGAGAGCAGTCGTACTGCCAGAAATGAATATGCACAGATAAGAAAGGAGGCCCAACGACAATATGAAAACGACATAGCAGTGAAAGCCAAATCTGACCCGAAGCTGTTATACAGCCACATCAGGAGGAAAACAACAGTCAAGGACCAGGTAATCAGACTAAGGAAGGAAGGAGGAGAGACAACAAGAAATGACCATGAAGTATGTGAGGAACTCAACATGAGATTCAAAGAAGTGTTCACAGAGGAGACAGAAGGGGCTCCAGAAAGACGGAGAGGTGGGGCACACCACCAAGTGCTGGACACAGTACACACAACCGAGGATGAAGTGAAGAGGCTTCTAAGTGAGCTAGATACCTCAAAGGCAATGAGGTCGGATAACATCTCTCCATGGGTTCTGAGAGAGGGAGCAGAGGCGCTATGTTTACCCCTAACAACAATAATCAATATATATATCCAAATAGGGAGATTGCCTGAGGTATGGAAGACAGCAAATGATGTCCAAATTTTTAAAAAAGGAGACAGACATGAAGCACTAAACTACAGACCAGTGTCACTGACATGTATAGTATGCAAAGTCATGGAGAAGATTATCAGGAGAAGAGTGGTGGAACACCTAGAAAGGAATGATCTCATCAACAGCAGTCAACATGGTTTCAGGGACGGGAAATCCTGTGTCTCAAACCTATTGGAGTTCTATGACAGGGTGGCAGCAGTAAGACAAGAGAGAGAGGGGTGGGTAGATTGCATTTTCTTGGACTGTAAGAAGGCGCTTGACATAGTTCCACACAGATTAGCGCAAAAACAAGAGGACCAGGCAGGAATAACAGGAAATGCACTACAATGGATCAGGGAATACTTGTCAGGAAGACAGCAGCTAGTCATAGTACATGGCGAGGTGTCAGACTGGGCGCCTGTGACCAGCGAGGTCCCACAGGGGTCAGTCCTAGGACCAGTGCTGTTTCTGGTATTTGTGAACGACATGACGGAAGGGATAGACTCCGAAGTGTCCCTGTTTGCAGATGACGTGAAGCTGATGAGAAGAATTCATTCGATCGAAGACCAGGCAGAACTACAAAGGAATCTGGACAGGCTGCAGACCTGGTCCAGCAATTGGCTCCTGGAGTTCATCCCCACCAAGTGCAAAGTCATGAAGATTGGGGAAGGGCAAAGAAGACCGCAGATGGAGTACAGTCTACGGGGCCAGAGACTACAAACCTAACTCAAGGAAAAAGATCTTTGGGTGAGTATAATACCAGGCACATCGCCTGAGGCGCACATCAACCAAATAACTGCTGTAGCATATGGGCGCCTGGCAAACCTCAGAACAGCATTCCGACATCTTAATAAGGAATCGTTCAGGACCCTGTACACCCTGTACGTTAAGCCCATACTGAAGTATGCGGCACCAGTTTGGAACCCACACCTAGCCAAGAACGTAAAGAAACTAGAGAAAGTGTAAAGGTTAGTAACAAGACTAGTCCCAGAGCTAAGAAGTATGTCCTACGAGGACATACCTGACCTGACGACACTAGAGAACAGGAGAGATAGGGGGGACATGATAACGACATACAAAATACTGAGAGGAATTGACAAGGTGGACAAAGACAGGATGTTCCAGAGATGGGACACAGCAACAAGGGGACACAGTTGGAAGTTGAAGACGCAGATGAATCACAGGGATGTTAGGAAGTATTTCTTCAGCCACAGAGTTGTCAGGAAGTGGAATAGTTTAGGAAGCGATGTAGTAGGGGCAGGATCCATACATAGCTTTAAGCAGAGGTATGATAAAGCTCACGGTTCAGGGAGATGACCTAGTAGCGACCAGTGAAGAGGCGGGGCCACTAGCTAGGCCTCGACCCCTGCAACCTCAACTAGGTGAGTACAACTTGGTGAGTACACACACACACATACACAGTAGTGGAGGCAGGAGCCATACATAGCTTTAAGTTGAGGTATGATAAAGCTCATGGAGCAGGGAGAGAGAGGACCTAGTAGCACTTGGTGAAGAGGTGGGGCCAGGAGCTGTGTCTCGACTCCTGCAACCACAATTAGGTGAGTACAACTAGGTGAGTACACACACACACACACACACACACACACACACACACACACACACACACACACACACACACACACACACACACACACACACACACACATATTCGTCTATTCGTAAATACAAAGTGTATCCGCAGTCATATATTTCTGGTGCAGATCCGGAGGTCCAACGAGAGGAAAGTTCTGCTTAAGAATCTCACCTTCAACTCCACTGGTGTGTATAAGTGTGAAGTGTCTGCCGACTCTCCTCATTTCCATACTTACGAAAACCAGAGCGTCATGGTAGTAGTAGGTAAGTGACACTCATAGTGACAGTGTGGTAGTACGTAAGTGACACTTATACTTATAGTGACAGTGTGGTAGTAGGTATGTGACAGTCATACTTACAGTGACAGTGTGGTAGTAGGTAAGTGACACTCATACATATAGTGACAGTGTGGTAGTAGGTGACACTCATACTTATAATGACAGTGTGGTAGTAGGTAAGTGACACTCATACTTATAGTGACAGTGTGGTAGTAGGTAAGTGACACTCATACTTATAGTGACAGTGTGGTAGTAAGTAAGTGACACTCATAGTGACAGTGTGGTAGTAGGTGAGTGACACTCATAGTGACAGTGTGGTAGTAGGTAAGTGACACTCATAGTGACAGTGTGGTAGTAGGTGAGTGACACTCATAGTGACAGTGTGGTAGTAAGTGACACTCATAGTGACAGTGTGGTAGTAGGTAAGTGACACTCATAGTGACAGTGTGGTAGTAGGTGACACTGATACTTATAGTGACAGTGTGATAGTAGGTAAGTGATACTTATAGTGACAGTGTGATAGTAGGTAAGTGATACTTATAGTGACAGTGTGATAGTAGGTAAGTGATACTTATAGTGACAGTGTGATAGTAGGTAAGTGATATTTTATAGTGACAGTGTGATAGTAGGTAAGTGATACTCATAGTGACAGTGTGATAGTAGGTAAGTGATACTTATAGTGACAGTGTGATAGTAGGTAAGTGACACTTATAGTGACAGTGTGATAGTAGGTGACACTGATACTTATAGTGACAGTGTGATAGTAGGTAAGTGATACTTATAGTGACAGTGTGGATAGTAGGTAAGTGATACTTATAGTGACAGTGTGATAGTAGGTAAGTGATACTTATAGTGACAGTGTGATAGTAGGTAAGTGATACTTATAGTGACAGTGTGATAGTAGGTAAGTGACACTTATAGTGACAGTGTGATAGTAGGTAAGTGATACTCATAGTGACAGTGTGATAGTAGGTAAGTGATACTTATAGTGACAGTGTGATAGTAGGTAAGTGACACTTATAGTGACAGTGTGATAGTAGGTGACACTGATACTTATAGTGACAGTGTGGTAGTAGGTAAGTGACACTCATAGTGACAGTGTGGTAGTAGGTAAGTGACACTCATAGTGACAGTGTGGTAGTAGGTGACACTGATACTTATAGTGACAGTGTGATAGTAGGTAAGTGATACTTATAGTGACAGTGTGATAGTAGGTAAGTGATACTTATAGTGACAGTGTGATAGTAGGTAAGTGATACTTATAGTGACAGTGTGATAGTAGGTAAGTGATACTTATAGTGACAGTGTGATAGTAGGTAAGTGATACTTATAGTGACAGTGTGATAGTAGGTAAGTGATACTCATAGTGACAGTGTGATAGTAGGTAAGTGATACTTATAGTGACAGTGTGATAGTAGGTAAGTGACACTTATAGTGACAGTGTGATAGTAGGTGACACTGATACTTATAGTGACAGTGTGGTAGTAGGTAAGTGATACTCATAGTGACAGTGTGATAGTAGGTGACACTGATACATATAGTGACAGTGTGGTGGTAGGCAAGTAACATTCATACTTACAGAGTGGTATGGTGGTATTAAGTGGCACTCATACTGTGTTGTGCATGTGTCTTAATTTCATCTTGTCGGTATTATATACAATTCTTGTACTACTACTACTACTACTACTACTACTACTACTACTACGACTACTACTACTACTACTACTACTACTACTACTACCACCACCTCTTCCTGCCTATATATAGCCGTCCTGCTCCACCTCTGTTAGTGTGACTTTGTCAATGGTCCAAGTCGGACCGAAACGTCGTCGTAAGCTTCTCTCTTTTATGTGCGGGTTATTTGTGTATCGTTCCAGTCACGGTATTGTGCCTTTTTGTTATTTATGGGTAGGTGACAAGCTCCTATTTTCACAATGACATACTTAAACACAGCAGTTAGTGTTCACCCTTCACAGCCTTGACGCTGATAAGAACAGAGTGAGGCACTGCAGTAGGCCTATCAGCCTGTGATTGACAGGTCTAATACACACTCACCCACACCCACTAATGTGCCTCTTATTAAACCTGCTCAATGTTATCATATTAATTAATAACGTTACTTTTATTGCACTCATTCTCAACTCAGCTAACAAAGCAATGCTTCCCTATAACCTTACTAAAGTTATTTATCTCCAAATGGAACCATCTGCTGAGAGTTGTGTCTTGACAACATGCTTTTAGTATTTTATTTACATTCCTTTTATTCTGCTTTTCCATTTTTACACTTTAGTCACATCCTCTCGTGATTCTCCTCTCCTCAGACTATCTTAGAAGGAAACATTTCTGTTACAGGGATCAGTTTAGTCATCGTCTCTGTTATCCAGCACACTTACAGCCATTTTGTTCAATGACACTTTATCAGTGATGTGAATAATGAAGTACAACCAGAAGATTTCTGTTACTTGTACTTCTTGATATAAATCCAAGATTTCTATTAGCTTCGTTGTGAACACTTGTGCACTGTCTACTTGGCTTTAGTTTCCTTCTCACTAGAACTCCTAAGCCTTTTTCTCACATTCATTTTAATTTATTTATTTATTTATTTATTTATTTATTTATTATTTATTTATTTATTTGAACATGATACAGAGAAGTACAAGGAATACAATTTTTAAAGTGCAGCATGCCACAGCACCTTGTATGTAGAACATTATGGGCAGCTTAAAATTAACTTAAGATTAACTAAGCAATGATATATTCAGTGGTACAAAAATTATTGTAAAACAGATAACAATTTAGTACAAATGAGTATTACAAAGACAGGTTATATGGTCATTACTGTGTTGCTGTGTAATCACTAGAATGGAGTATTATGTTAGGTAATGAAGTTAAATAGTAACAAAGTTTGATTGGTTCACAGGTTGACATTTATGAGATACAATAATGAGAAACATTTATGAGATACAAGTTATGAGATACAATTATTCAGTATTTATTTAGTTGTGGGTGAGTAAGTGATTTTTGAGAAGAGACTTGAATTTATAAACAGACAGTGTTTCTTTTATATTCACAGGTAATGAATTCCAGATTTTAGGGCCTTTTATGTGCATTGAGTTTTTGCATAGCGTGAGATGGACACGAGGAACATCAAAGAGTGACCTGTGCCTTGTGTTATGGTCATGTGTTCTGTTGAGGTTAGTAAGGAGATGTTTGAGGGGAGAGTTAAGTGTTCTATGTATGTAGTAGGTGCAGTAATAAGTATGGATGTTTTGTATTGTGAGTAGGTTTAGAGTTTTGAATATTGGTGGAGTGTGCTGTCTGTAGTGGGAATTTGTTAAGATCTTTATTTTTCAGATTATACATGCAATGGTTAATTTCTCTTCCCAGAGACAGAGTCTTACATAACCCATATTAAACTGCAGCTGCTGCTTCTCCGAGCACAGCATCACTTACCCTGATCATCTTGAAGTGTTTATCATCCTCATCAGAATTTATTTGACGGACTAATTTACTGTCATCGCCAAACTGGCTTAGGTTGCATTGTATTCCCTCACTCATGTTGTTAATGTGTATTCTGAATAACAAGAGACCCAGTACTTTCCCTCGTAGAACACCACTTGCATTGGATCCTTTCTGATTTCTCCTTATTTATGCGAACTCAAGTTGCCTATTGATTAATCATTTCTCGATTCTTGAGATAATTTCTCCTATTCACTGCGTAGCTTCTTCCCCCTACAGTGTCTTATGTGCTACTCTAATAACCATCTTGTTAAATTCCATATGCACAATAACAAATTCTTTACCATGGGTTACCGTCTCAAATACTCAGTGAAAAGCTTAGTAAATTTGTCAGGTATAATTTCCCCTTTGTGTTGAGAGTCACTGATTATTACAACACAGCAATCTAAAGGCTTGTTATCCTGGGTGTAAAGGGAGCAAAATAAACACAGCAGAAAAACTTTTGACTTATATTATCCTTCACCAAGTAAGAACAGAAGTATGTACACTATGTACAACGATAGGTATTAGTGCACTCCATGGTAAGCAAGGAAGAATGGAAGCCACTAGAGAGCAGATCGTGCTTCAACCAGCTCTAGAATGGGAATGACAAGGGCAGACAGGAGAGTGATACCCACAACACCTCTGCGATTGCCAAAACCATCTTCTCATTGGCTGGAACCTGGGTACTGATTGAACGATGGAGCCCCATCGTTAACCCTTAGCACCTGGTTCGCTGGTTGGGGGAGATAGCCTTCCAATGAGTGTGTGTACATGCACCGAATAAAGGTTACGTACTTTTTGCATGCCACACTGATCAAATTATATATTTTAAGGTATATTCAAATTACGTCGACATTTTTTTTATTCCTTAAACTTTACTATAATTGAAGATAGACTAATTGTTCTTTAATTAAAAACTAACGACCGATCGATGAAAGTAGTTTTAATGTTACCAGTAATATAGAAGGACATCTTTATTAGATATATATCGGTCCTGGAACCTTCATCAGTTCAAAGACTGAGAAATCACAGAATATGTAGTGGACAAAATATGTCGTTGATGAAGAGCAGGTGAAGGCATCAGGTCATCTAACTACTGTGTCACGTAGCAGCAGGTGAAGGCATCAGGTCATCTAACTACTGTGTCACGTAGCAGCAGGTGAAGGCATCAGGTCATCTAACTACTGTGTCACGTAGCAGCAGGTGACCACCACAGAGATGTATTATGTGCAGGAGTTCCTGAGATGATGTAATTACCAGAACTTTGTTCAATGTCGTTAGAATTAGCAATTAAGAATATTTCAGTACAGTGGAGCCTTGCAACGTTTGATTCTCTTCAGATCAATTGTTCTTTGTTCGAGTAAATAAGAAGGATGTGTAGAACAGCGCAAGACACAGTCATTGTCGACCTGGTTACATGCACTGCAGTGTTGTCGACCTGGTTACATGCACTTCAGTGTTGTCGACCTGGTTACATGCACTTCA